ACCTAATCCTTTACATTGTGACATCAACCCATCAGGAAAACACAGAATACCATTAGAGACTACTGAAAACCACCAGGAACCAGCAGACACTTTAATGGGTTCTATGATGTTTTCCAGCAGGGAGGTACATTAAATGTAACTGTTATGTGTTATGGACGAAAAATGGATTAAGTAATGGTATCGCTAAGCAGCAGCAGCCAAAGGTCACCGTGCCGTTAGGCCGCTTCTGCCATTGTGGCAGAGAGTGCATGTGCACGTGACGTCACTGGGGCTGAGAGTGCGTCTCTGCAGCCAGACTCTACTGAACTGCAGCACCAATTAAAGTGGAATGGGACAATTCGAACAAGAAGCTGGTGAATAGCTGACTTCAGCTTCGTATCACCAAAGAATTAGCGGTCGGCGATAATAAATAATTGTCTTATGCCCCCTCTTTTAAAGCATATGATGCCCTAAATGTAACTAAAACCCAGCGAGGTTGCTGAACTTTTCCCTTCTCTGCTATCACTGAAGACGGGCTGGGTCGCCTACAGAGCAGCGCTAGTAGCCTGTTAATGAAGCAGTGTTTATTTTTTATTTTTTTTAATTTGAGGGTTTTCCCATTTCGTAGGGCAAGATTTCAGCCACTACCCCTTGTAACTCAGTTCCAAGGGGTTAGGGTGACACTCGAAAACAAGGGGTAGGGGTAAAAAGAAGAAATGGGATTGGGCCTAAGACTCCTTCTTAATCCCCTTTGCTTTCCCTGTTAGTTTGTGAAGTCACTGTGTTAGTTAACCTGAGGTTCTAGCCTTTGTTTCTTTGTATTGTTTTCCTGTTGTTGACACTCTCTTGCCTCTTTCTTTTGTTAATATCGACCTGCCTCTTATTTTGCCTGCCTGTGCTTTGACCTCTGCCTGCTGTGACTATGAGTATTGAACTGCCCCTAATGAAGCCATTTCACACTTGCAACCTGCCTCAGCCCTACAGTACAGCAGCACATGTTAGCTGGAGAGTCATACAGCTTATGGCTGAATACAGATGGCTTTCTATTTAATATATAATACATTATTTGGATGTAGAACCCATTATTTCAGGTCTTTTCACACACTACCACAGTGTCTTCATGCAAAACATTAATTGAATATTTATTTTCTTCACACTACATTTATTTCCAGCAACACATTTCAAACTCTGCTCAAAAATGACAGAGCACAGCTTTCAGTTTAAAGACAACCACAAGTGATAGATTTCAATTCTAGGACTGAAATTTGAGTGATCTTCATTAAATACTGCATTAAATACAGAATTGCTGTTGTTGTTATTATTATTATTATTATTATTATTATTATTATTATTATTATTGTTGTTGTTGTTGTTGTTGATTTTAAAGAGTGAAAATCTACTGCATTACTTCAGGGCAGGAATGCTGATGGTTCTGTTACTCTTGATTAGATACCAGTGATTAATTTTTAATTTTCTATGTGAACAGTGTTCACTCACTCACATACATTAATCTTCTACTGTGTCAGTAGTTATGTGTGATCACACCTTAAATTTAAGTGATGAAAGCAGCATGAAATGTTATTACATGTTTAAGACATTTTTTTACCCTATTTCATGTAACTGAGAGACCACAGCAGCCACATTAGGGCACTAGCAGTGACCTCAGCTTGTCAGTACAGTGAAAATGCGCTTCACCAGAACTACTAAATTCACTGATTATTATTTCTCTGCTGCCATCTTGTGGAGAAGAAAATGTACTGCAGTGACAAAAACCAATTTTTCTGTAAGAGCTGAATTACAATTATGTGTGTCTTTAGATCATGGTTTCATTACACTGAGCTCTCTGTATTACAAAATCATTTTAAAAAGCAGCAGATTCCTCAATTCAAACAAGTAAAATAACATCTGTGAATAAGTTTAGTTTATTTGTAGCTTTACTGAGCGTTAAACTAGCATTTCTGTGTATCTGTATTCTAACTCAGAGCGGTGTATGTGAGATGGTTATCAGTGTGTGGATCAGTTCTCATTAATGCTGTATTACACTGGAGTGTTTCCTCTCTCTGAAGTCAGTCTCCTGTATGTTGGTGTGTTTCTCACCACACTGCTGCAAGCATCTCTCCTCACACACACACCTCTAGAGACGGAGGTGGAGTTCTGTTCATCAGCACTGACGCTCTTTTGATAAATATGGAGAAAGAAAAAAATGCCTCCTCTGATTTGTCACTGAAAATGTTTGATGATTTCCTCTTCTCTTTCTAATAAGGTCATAGTGAGTGTGATTGGCGGCTGTAAGGAGCTCTCTCTCTCTCTCTCTCTCTCTCTCTCTCTCTCTCTATCTCTCTATCTCTCTCTCTCTTTCTCTCTCTCAGTTTCTTCAGTCTCTCTGGGGGAGTGGAGGTGAAGCTTGTTCTACTGCTGAGTTGAACGGACTGTGTGCACATCAGATGGAGATGGACAGCTGTGTGGTTCTCATTCTTCTGTCCTCCATAATCACACTCACCACAGCTGGTATGTACTCACTCTTGCTACAAAAAATCAGGTATGTCATTTCAAATCTCTCTCTCTCTCTGTCTGTCTTTTTTCTCACTCTCTGTTTGTTGGTTTAGTTACTCTCTATTTGTCAATTTAGGCCTTATTTTATTATATTGATTGGTTTTCTGTGTTGTGGATCACTGACTCTGTACTTTCAACACTTGTTCAAGTTTTATTTGAGGGGCTTTAAGTCAAGAACACTTTAGGATATTTGGGAATTCTTTCTGTGTCTGATCTGTCATAATCGAGAAATTTTAAACTTAAACATGGACAGTAGGGCTCTTACAGTCTGAAGAGTCAGATCTATATAAATGCACTGGTTTTCATCATCATAAACATCATAAATAAAAAAAAAAATCAAAACTGGCTGTTTTTGCATGTTTATTTATTTACTCTAAATATTTTTGATATTGAAGCCTGCTTTTATCCCTCTAGATGGTACTTTTAATAAAGTAATCCTTTGGATTGGGGTACATTATACATTTTTAACAGGAAATTCTCAGCTCTGAATGTATCGACACATCACATGGTGACGAGATTGAGCTGTATGAAGCGATCAGTGATGTTGAGCCCTGTTTGTGAAAACTCTTCACATAAATTTCTGCCAAAAAGATGTGAATTTTCATACGTTTTGATGGGATTTGTATTGTAAATAACCTTTCATTTCTGTTTTCCACATATTTTCTCTTTCCATACTCACAGTTTATAAGACCTTCGGAAAGACAAAGTTAAGACTGTGAAAATTTCCACAAATCAGCCTGATTCATTTGACCTTGTTGTCATTAATCTGACTGATCAGCTTTTGAATGTGAATTTATTAACTTTAGAAAATAAAGTTCAGAAATGTAGTGTTGGGGGATTTAGGCTTGGAGGATGATCTCATCAGAATTCACAAATCAGAACTAATGAAGCTCAGGTGTAAATTACTGCATCATAGAGTTATAGCTGATAGAATCCTGAACTGCTAACCACAAGCTAATTTTACTGTTGTTCTCAGTGGTGGATGTTGTGGATAATGTCGGTGTTTGTCACATATAGGACTTTGATATAAATATGATGAAAAATAGTAATAAGGATCAGAAACAGATCATTTAACATAGCCAGTACCTGATCCAGTCCTTCTGTCTGTGGGCCTTTAGTGACTGTTACATATCATAGAACATACCTGAAAGCAGAGTGCCAGCTGTAAAGTTTGGTGGAGGAGGAATAATAGTCTGGGGCTGGTTTTTATAGTCTGTGTTGGGCCGCTTTGTTCCAGTAAAGTGAAATCTTAATATCACAGCATAAAATGACACTCTAGACAACTGTGTGCTTCTGACTTGTGGCCGCAGGAAAGGCTCTTTCCTATTTCAGCATGACAGTGCTCTCATGCACAAAGTCCATTAATAAATGACTGACTGAGCTGGTGTGAAAGAACTGAATTAGCCTGTGCAGAACCCCAACCTCAGCTTTCATCAGAACGTTAACTGTGAAACAGACCTTCTGCTGTTGTGGCAGAGTGGAAGTGAATCCTGAAGACATGCTGAAAAAATCTAGTGAAAAGTCTTCCCAGAGGAGTGGACACTCTCTATTAATGGTTTTGGAGTGAAATGTTCAACAAGCACAAATGTGTGTGATATTTGAATGTACCTTTGGCCATGTAATGAATATTTAGCCTTGTTCTCTCTCTCTCTCTCTCTCTCTCTCTCTCTCTCTCTCTCTCTCTGTTGTACAGTCAGTGTGAGGTTGGTGGATGGTGGCTGTCGCTATGCTGGGAGAGTGAAGGTTCTTCATGATGATCAGTGGGGAACAGTGTGTGATTATAACTGGAATATTAGTGATGCTGCAGTGGTGTGTAGAGAGCTGGGTTGTGGAGAAGCTGTAGACGCACTAAGCACAGCTCACTTTGGACCAGGATCAGGACCAATCTGGATGGATGATGTGGACTGTAGCGGGTCAGAGTCTACACTGATGAACTGTACATTCCCAGAATGGGGTGAAAATTACTGTAGTCATGATGAAGATGCTGGAGTCATTTGTTCAGATCAAATCAAATCTTCAGTACAGTGATTTTATAAATAATCCCTCAATAAACTATCAATTGAATTTAGGTCACAGTTTTGACTCATCACATGTTTTAAAACCTCATGTTTATGTTCAAATATTTGTTGTCTTTTATAGAACAATGAGCAGAATTACAGTCCAAGACAACCTGTTACCTAAGAGAGACAGGCAAAGAAAAGAAAGAAGTGAAAAGAGGTGAAGACTTTTAACCCCCTTTTTATTGAAGCATTAATAATTAAAGAATTTTACATCCTATGATAAAGAGCTAATAGTTATATTAATAATAATGAGGATCCCCAAAGAGAATCCACCCATCCACAAAGATTCACCAATGAAATGATATCACACCCAGATCACTGACAGATATGATACTTTCACCAGCACACCACTTTCTCTCAAAACAGGAAATGTTCTGAGTACTTTGGTAAAAAACAAACTCAACTCTAATGCGTGACTCTACTAGAGCTCGGAACAGTTTCAGAACATCCACCTCCTGCCCTTCAGACACCAACCTGAAGGACTTCCACACTGATAACTTCGCTTGTCCCACTAAAAAATTAGCCAAGGTACATTTATAACGCTGAGCTTTAGAATATTTACAGCCAAAGATAAACAGAGTCCGGGTGAACAGAAACCCCAGCCCTCTGAGCGCCCTGTCCAGGAGTTTGAAAAGAGGAATCAGTCTTTGACAGTCGGAAAAAGCATGAAAAACAGTATCAGGGTTATTACAGAAAATGCAAAGTGGTTGAACAGCCGGGTTAAATTTTGACACAAACCCATTTGTGGGTACAGCACAGTGAAGGATCCTCCACTGGAGGTCTCCTGACCGTTTGGGCAAGGGGCTTTTGTACAAGAGCCTCCATGAAGGCCGCAGACCCTCAGGGACAGAGAGGTGGGCTCTCCATTTGGAGTCACATCTCCCCTTCAGCTCATGCAAGTGCAAGTTTTTAACACAGCTCTGGTACAAAGCCTTCTTTCCAGCTGTTGAGAAAGGCAACTTCTGTAACCCACTCAGAGAGAGAAGCTGCCCCTCAGTAATCTCAGGCTCGGAAACAGAGGGGCTGACAAATAACTCTGGAAATAGCATTTCGGCCAATCCACCAGCCAGAGCACCAGCCACAAAAGCCTTCAGAGGTGGAGGCAAGGAAGCTTTAAAAGTATTGATTAGACCCCCAATCACTCTGTCTGATTTAAAACCAACGAGCTGCGTTAAAACCACAGCTGATCGCCACTCTCCCTCCCCCAAATCAATCAGATGTCGAATTCGTGTTACTCCTGCCTTCGTAAAGGCGGTAGCGATTGTGCTGAACTGGTGAACTTGCTGAAGCAGAAAGGGGTTAGAAAATAAAGGCTCGTCCAGACCATAATGTGCATCATTGTCCCTCGTCACTTTAAACAGCCCCCATGCCTTTAAAACTGAACCATAAAACCCACAACCAGCTATTCGCCTTACAATATTCCATGGCATGAGAAAAAGCTGTTTGTCATAACCCAGTCCACCGAAGTTCCGGAGCAATGCCAAAGCAAAATGAATCCAAGGGGTGCTGTCCTCCCCAAAAAGCAGTTTTTGTGCTGTCTGTAGTCGCATGGCCGTCACTCTGGCCAACCCCTGTATCAGCCCTTGACCTCCTTCCGCCAGGGGCAGATACAGTACCGCAGGTGGAAGCCAGTGATACCCATCCCAGAAGAAGTCTACAAAGGCCTTCTGAACACGATTCAGTAAATCCACTGGGGGGTCCAAAACAGTTAGCCTGTGCCACACCATTGAAGCTGCAAGATTATTAATCACCAGCACCCTTCCCCGGTATGATAACTGAGGCAGAGCCCATTTCCACCTCTGGAGTCTCCCCAGAATCTGTTCTCTCAGCCCTTCCCAGTTCTTCTGCATATATGCATCTGTCCCAAAGAAGACACCCAGCACTTTAAAGCCCTCCAGGTTCCAGGAGCACTGCTGGGGGAGCCGAGGTGGGCTCTCCTGAAGCCACTGTCCTAATAACAATGCTGTACTTTTGCTCCAGTTTATCCGCGCTGATGTGGCTTCCTGGAATTTTTCAAGGCACTCACTTACCCTCTTTACATCGCTCTCATCTCTAACAACAACTGTTACATCGTCAGTGTACGCTGTCAGTTTCACTGTTACACCCTTCTCTGTACTGGGCTTTTGGGCTGAGACCCCACGGAGCCGCTTACGGAGAGCCACTAGCAGTGGCTCAATAGCAATGGCATACAGCAGTCCAGAGAGACCACAGCCTTGACGTATCCCCCTGGTTACAGGGAAAGGCCTAGTGAGGCTCCCATTTATTTTCAACAAACTATACACATCAGCATACAACAGTTTAATCTGTGAAACAAATTTTTGGCCGAATCCAAAAGCCTCGAGTGTCCTGAAGAGAAAGGTGTGGTCTACCCTGTCAAAAGCTTTCTCTTGGTCTAGAGAAATCAGACCCATGTTGAGTTCCTGCTCTTTTGTATAAGCAAGTAAGTCTCTGATTAAAAACAAATTATCAAAAATGGATCTCTTCGGCACACGGAAAGACTGATCCGCATGGATTATCGAACCCAAGCACTTCTTCAAACGGTTTGTCAATGCTTTGGACAGAATTTTATAATCCACTCCAAGGAGCGAGACTGGCCGCCAATTCCATAACAACTCAGGATCACCCTTCTTGGGCAGCAGAGTTATTACGGCCCGTCGGCAACTGAGTGGAAGGAAACCAGAGTCTGTAGGTGAAGAGGTGAAGAGGAAAAAATAAAATAAAATGAAATGTGTAGAGGGGCAGCTAATAACTTTAAATTCATAAATCATCTAGATCAGTGACAATGTAAATGTAGAATTGTCATTTAGAAGGCACAGGCATGAATCTGAATCATATATCACATCAATGAAATAGAAATTTGTTAACTTATTTGCAAAATTCAGAAATATAAAGACAGTCCCAAAACATATGGAAAACATACTGGAAGTATAGAGACAAGAAAATTGAAAATGACAATTCATATATAGCGTTTGTAAAGTGTAGTATAGGTTAAAATCTCAACTTTTATTAAACTGACAGTACAGCTCTGTTTTGGTCCTTTGGAAACTTATGTGATTATAGACAATTTACATTTTCAGTGTTAATGAAAAGCAATTTTATTAACCTGCCACATTTTACAAAAATAGATATTTATAAACACTTTTCTATCATTTTCAAACATATGTGTTCTGTGATCTCTATTCACTCACTGCAAATATTTTAGGAGGAGTCAGGCTGGTTGGTGGTTCTCGCTGCTCTGGAAGAGTGGTGGTGCTTCATGGAGAGACCTGGTACACAGTGTGTGATGCTGACTTTGACCAGCAGGATGCAGAGGTTGTGTGTCGAGAGCTGGGCTGTGGGCTTCCTGTGGAGGTGCTGGGAGCAGCTGCTTTTGGCAGAGGGGAGGGTCAGGTGTGGTCAGAGGAGCTTCAGTGTAGAGGGAATGAATCTGAGATTTCCTTCTGTCCAACATCATCTTCTCTCAAACACAACTGCTCCCATGTCAGTGATGTGGGACTGGTGTGTGCTGGTAAGAGGGACATTTTCATTTTCTCATTTACTAATTTATCTTTACATACATGATGAGGTCTAAACGTGGAATCAACTGACAGGCTCACTTTGGTTTTGTTTCATATTAATGCAAGTAGTTTCCTCTCTCTCTTGCTCTCTCTCTCTCTCTCTCTCTCTCTCTCTCTCTCTCTCTCTCTCTCTCTCTCTTTCATGTGTGCTTGCCCTCCTTTTCTCTATTTCTTTTTTATCTCATTGATTACTGAAAAAGACATCATTTGATGGCTAACACAGCCGACTATGGAGCAAAAATCAGTGATTAAAAATAGTTTCTGCCCAAACTGAGCAGCTACAGCAACATTAGGAGTAATCTGAATAAAAACAAATTATAACTGTTGCATTTTATAAGTACAGTGTGTTAATTGGCATAATAACAACACATATATGTATCATTTGTTCTTGTACAAACTCTCACTTTAGTGTAATAGCTGTGTTAACCTGGTATGTGTTTTGTATACCTGTGCATCTCAAAAAATAAAAACAGGTCTGGTAGCGTAGCAGCGCGCTTATCAAGAAATTGCTGCTTCCACTTTAACAGCAAGACTTGAGATGTGTGGGTAAAAACAGTCTTCCTAATCTACTGTCGTCCGGACTTCAGTGTCCTCATCACTAGTTTTCGCTGTGTGCATAAATATCTGTCTCTTCTGCCTTCTGTTATACAGTCAGTGTGAGGTTGGTGGATGGTGGCAGTCACTGTGCTGGGAGAGTGGAGGTTCTTCATAGAGGACAGTGGGGAACAGTGTGTGATGATAACTGGGATATGAGTGATGCTGCAGTGGTGTGTAGAGAGCTGGGATGTGGAGAGGCTGTAGATGCACTGAGTGATGCTCACTATGGACCAGGATCAGGACCAATCTGGATGAATAATATGAGCTGCAGTGAATCAGCGTCTACACTGAAGAAGAACTGTAGATCAGCAGGTTGGGGAAAACATAACTGTGGTCATTCTAAAGATGCTGGAGTCGTCTGTTCAGGTAGGCTTATCTAAATTTCAATAATCTATTTAATGAGATTAACTTTTTCTTGTTGAATTTGCCCACTTGTATTTCTTAAAACATCACAATACAACTTGTCATGCATCTTTTTGTCTTTATAAACATACATGTTTTGAATAATCATTGAAGCTTTTGTACTTTTTAACAAAATAATTTCATCTGAGCATCATTATTTCACTTATCAAAAATGGCCTAATCTCTTTAATATTAGGAATCTGGCTGGTTGGTGGTTCTTGCTGCTCTGGGAGAGTGGAGGTGCTTCATGGAGAGACCTGGTCCACAGTGTGTGATGCTGGCTTTGACAAGCAGGATGCAGAGGTTGTGTGTCGAGAGCTGGGCTGTGGGCTTCCTGTGGAGGTGCTGGGAGCAGCTGCTTTTGGCAGAGGGGAGGGTCAGGTGTGGTCAGAGGAGCTTCAGTGTAAAGGCAATGAATCTCAGATTTACTTCTGTCCAAAATCATTTTCACTCAAACACAACTGCACTCATGACAGTGATGTGGGACTGGTGTGTGCTGAGTAGTATGTATCCTACACTGTTTTTCAGTGTATGATTTATGACCCTGATTTATGACCCTGATTTATGACCTGATTTATGACCCCTGTGTCACAGGCATGTCAGTTTTGATTGCCAGGTCATTTTTATGTGACAGTCCGATTTATGACCCCCCCTCTCTGTGACAGGTCAGTTTGAGGGACAGGTCTGCCTGGTGGGGGAGCAGGGTGTGGCTTACATATATTGTATTTAAGCGTTCTTCTCACAGGCGGATTGCATGACTATTGCAGCAAAATGTCTTCTGCAAGTTTAAATCAGACCGTTCTTAGCGTTTCTACAGCAACGCCGACTGTTAGTTCTTGTGGTAGTGAAACCAATTTGGAGTTTGCGCCGAGGAAGAGTCGGTATCGCGATGCATTTCATTGCCGGTCTCGCAAGTGTTTTGGGGATGCTAAGATTAACCTCTTTGATTCTCTGGCTTATGACATTTGTGGGGATGGTCAAACAGAATTACCGCCCTCCGCAATGTCTGTTTAAAGGGTCCCCCATCCATATCGAGGCATACAGCTTCGGTTTCTTAGCACTCAAGCCAACATTTTTGAGGATTTTCATCCATCAGGCCACCCTGACAATCACGGGCCTCTGTGGTATAGAAATGATCAAGGGCCGGACGTTGATTATGCACCGCTCGACACTGCCAGCGGTCCTGTAAACTACAGCCATGACGAACCAGCAGCGGCCATCGTGACATCAGACCACAGCATCTCGGGCCATTTCAGCAATACCAACACAGATGGCGATCAGCCAACACTATCCAACACATCAGACAACAACAACTGGTTGGACCATTTGTGTGAAGATTTTGCACGTGCGAATATGACTTTCCTGCATACACCGTTTTTTTCACCGGTACCAGCATGCATGGAAGATGATGAAACGCTCGTCGAAGCTCCTGAATGCATGCCTATACCCATATCAACCGAAGATGTGGATGGCCGAGTATGTGCTACAGGATTAAAACTTATAAAGTCTGCTGTCGTTGTAATCTTACAACATATCATAAACAACAAACTGAAGGAACCGTGTCTTGGTTGTGAAGTGGACCACCCCAGTCAACTTCGACATTCGTGTCTGTTTGAGCAGATATCTTCTTCTTTGAAAAGTACTATGACGATATAACACAGACATTGTTCACGCCTGAATTGAAACATGCTATTGCGGGGCTTCTAAAGTGTTTTGGAATACATCTGCCTCTTCAAAAAATTAAAGGATGCGCTGAAACAGTTGTCTGTGAATTGCAGAGCGAGCCATACATTGTGGAAAAGTTGCATGAAATAAGAGAAAATCTGGTTGATCACATATCTGGGGGATTTGTCGCTGACGCTGTTGATTGTTGGAAAGCTGGTTCAAACACCTGCAGTGCTGTTTACGACAAATGGGGAATGTTTGTGGATTCCAGGGCCTGGCGGGTCATGTTTTGAAACACCGTGTGAACTGCGAAATGACCAATTTGTTGTATAAATGTATTGAGGATTGTGTGGTCGATTTTAGACTCTTTAATAGTGTGTATGAAGTTGAAGCTAAACGTTTACAAAATTTCAAGAATCAAATGAGTATTGTCAAATCATTGTCAGATGATTGGTGCAACGTAACACAGTTATGTCTAGATTCTGACAAACCGCCTCATTTAACTGTCAGGAGGTTACTGTCTTTGATGCCTGAGAGCAACAATACAATGAAAATCAGTCATGTGCTTTGTCTGTGTACATATGTATTAGATGTTTGTGTCTTAGGTCTTTCAGCAAACAAACCAATTAATGTTTGTAAAGTGGTTGAAATACTTGTTGAATACTTGGTTGAGAAAAATGTTGATGTATGTGTGGAATTTCTTGAATTCATTGATGCATTGTGAGTTGTGAATAAAACAGTAAATCACACAAAATTTTGGGTCATTATTTTCAGTGATGGTGTCTGTGAACATGTCAGATCTTATGAGAGCAGCTTATTACACACCTTCAAATTCTGGTTCATTAGGTGGTAAAAACCGTTTGAAACAGGCTGTTTTAGAGGATAAAGGTGTGCATCTGTCTGATCAACAGGTTTCAGATTGGTTAGCTGGGGAGGATGCATACACGCTTCACAAACCCATACGGCATAATTACAAAAGAAACAGGGTTATAGTATACAGTATTGACTCACAATTCCAAGCCGATCTTGTTGATATGAACACGTATTCTAAGGAAAACGATGGTTATAAATATATGTTGTCGTGTACTGACGTATTTAGCAAATATGCCTGGGTCCGGTTGTTAAAAAATAAGTTGGGTTTGGAAGTCGCTAACGCATTTGCGTCCATACTAGCTGAGGGTAGAGTGCCTCAAAAATTACAGTCTGACTGGGGCAAAGAGTTTTTTAACAAACATTTTCAAAACCTGATGTCAAAAAACAAAATTATACATTTTGCTACAGGTAGTGAACTAAAGGCTAGTGTCGTAGAGTGTTTTAATAGAACTCTAAAAAGATGTATGTTGCGATATCTAACGGCTATAAATTCCAAAAGGTACATTGATGTTTTACAAGACATAGAAGTATAAAAATGAAACCAGCTGATGTGTCCAAAGACAATGAAACTATTGTGTTTAAAACGTTGTATGGTGTGAGAGATGGGCTAAACAAGAAAACTGTGTTTAAGTACAAGGTGGACGATGTGAGAATTTCTAAAGTCTGGTCTGTTTGCAAAGGGTTACGAGGAGAACTGTACACTTGAATTTTTCACTATTTCAGAGCGTATCCCTCGTCAACCACCTGTTTATAGATTGAAAGATTATGATGGTGATGTTATACAAGGTAGTTTGCAAAAAATAAATGTGTCTGGAGATAAAACATGCAAAGTTGAAAAGATTTTAGAGAAGAAAAAACAGGGTAAAAAAAATATGGTTTTGGTGAAATGGCTGGGGTGGCCTCCCAATTCAACAGTTGGATTCCTGAAAAGGATGTGGTGGATATACAAAAGCCTTAACAGATGTGTGGCTTTTGTGAATGCAATCATTACAACAAATGACAAACATGGGTGACAATGGTTTTTGTATTACTTTGCCATGCAATTCATCGATGTTGGTATACCCTGACAATCAAATTTCTAATTACAGAACAAAACTGGCAAAACCAATTGATTTAAAAGGTGACTGGGAAGTGGGTGTTTTAGAGTTTCAGTACCCACGGACGTGGAAAACATTTGATGAAGATGACGCGACATTTATGGTGATCGATAAAATCACTTCAAAAATAACAAAAATAAAATTACCTGTCGGATATTATAAAGACATATCCATGTTGATTGATGAGATCAATTTTAAACTATCATCACATTCAGTATTTATTGGTTACGATCAAATAAGACACAAGGTTTATATCAAGACAAGACCTGGCATAGGTTTAGTATTTGATGGAAAACTAGCTATTATCTTACGTCTAAAACCGGGGGAGATGCTAGAATCTGCGTCTAAAATGGTTCGAGATCAAGAAGGTTTTCAGAAACAGTACGCACCGCACCCAGCCGACATCTGTGGGGGTTTCTACACACTGTATGTTTACACAGACATCATCGAATACCAAACAGTTGGAGACTCCTTTGTGCTTCTGTTAAGATGTGTACATATATCAGGGGACATCCACGATGTTGTCACTGTTAGATACAACAAGCCGCACTACGTGTCGGCAACTAAGACCCACATTAGCGACATTACAATAGAGGTGAAAACTGATCAAAACCAACACGTCAATTTTTCATACAGGAAAGTGGTTGCAAAACTACAATTTAGACCTGTAAAACAACCAACCGGGTTTTAAAAATGGATGCATTCAATGCACACACTATGGACCCTGAATGCTATGTTTCTTACTACCAAAATCAAGCAGGCGGTATCATGCCTGGTTATGCAGGTAGTCCAGCTATGTACGGAGCTGGCTTTGGTGGTATTTTTAGAAATTTATTCAGAATGGCTATACCGTTGTTCAAGAGGCGGTTTAGTATAGCCAAACCGCATCTAAAAACAGTGGCTAAAAACATTGTAAGCGATATAGTCAGCAACGGTTTGACACATGCTATGCGAAACAACCAGGGCGGATCAGGCATGCTAGTAATGGCACGAAAATCTGTGAAACGACCCCCTGGAAAGAGGCGTCGTCGCCCTGCTAAGAAAACCAAGCGTGAGTTGAAAATCGCATCGATTCAAAAAGGAAGAGAAAGGGGAAACAGACCAAACAAACAATATTTTCACAGGTCGATGTGCCCTTGGTGATCGACTAATATCACAGAGTTCCAGTACCTACCCATACCGCAGTATCATAGAATGACTTGCCAATTATGGTCGGGATACCTTGGAAACTTTTTTCTGCTGGACTCTTTTATCTGGACAAAGCTGGACATATGGATGAGACAAACCCCATTAGAAACAATCTAGGCTTGAGAAATAGGGCTGCATTAACAACCGCTAGTAATGTGGTAGAGCTGCTGGCACCGATTCATAGCGACATATTTTTTCAGGAGAAATTGATGCTTAATGGTGTGGATATAAAAATACGCATGACGCATAGTAAGGATGAATTCTGTCTAATGCGACATGATGCGTTAGCTTACAAAGTAAACATTCTCTCAGCATCTTTATTTGTCAAAAAAGTGTCGGTATCACCAGCTGTAAGGCTAGGTCATGCGCAGGCGTTGCTGTCAACAACTGCTAAATACCTGATTGACAGAGTGTGTCTAAAAAATTTCTCTATACCAGCAGGGACGAGAGTTTCTAATCAAGAGAATTTGTTCTTGGGAACACTACCAAAGTCTATGATAATAGCAATGGTTGACAATGATGCGTTCACAGGTGCATACTATAAAAACTCATTTGCATTCAAACATTATGATTTAGAGTTTCTCGCTGTCTATGTAGATGGGCAACATCTCCTGCTAAACCACATCAACCCGACTTCCAGTCTGGTTCTGCTGTGCGTGAATTTTATCAGTTGGCTTTCGCATCTGGTAGACATCTGAAAAACCAGGCATTGCCTTTTGATAGAACAGATTTCCTACAGGGCTACACTCTGTATGCATTTAATCTTACACCTGATGAAGAATGTAGTCAACGTGTCTTTGGTCAAATCTGGGAATATAAGACTGGAGGCTCATTTCAGGCAACCCCTTCCACACACCATAAATTTGATTGTATATGCTGTTTTTGACAGTCATTGAAGTGTCTAATCAAAGACAAGTTTTGGTTGATTTTTACTAATGAGTACTTTAGAGTTAAACGCTTCCGGGTGAACACTGGCTTGCTGTCTACATAACTGAAGATCGTGTTGGATGCTTTTTTGACAGTTTTGGAAACCCACCAGAGAGGTTCCCTGACATGATCAGTGACTTTCTTAAAACATCATGCATAACACAGCTGTACTCAACTAGACAAGTACAAGACTTTGCTTCAACTACTTGCGGCCAACACTGTGTTTTTTTTTAACTACATCACCAAAGGGTTAAGTTATGAAAATGTGATGTCTAAATACTGTTTAGATTTGATAAAAAATGACAATATGGTTTTGACTTTTGTAAAGAAATTTTATCCATGTATTTGTAAGAACAAACTGTTTAAATGTGTCCAGCATGTTCAATCAGGACAAATGTTTAATGTATAATTGTGTCCCTATGTGATGTAATGGTTGATAAATAAAAACAAACAAAACAAAGAATGTCAACTCAGAGTCATTTATTTACAAATATGTAACACATCGGTGAAACATCGATTTAACACAGTATTATCTGAAATGTATTTACATAGTCATGATAAAAAACAATATGTTAAACAAATAAATACATAAACAAACAATCAAACAAAAAAAAACATTTTAGAAGCTTAACCATTTACTTCTGTCTAGAATGGGGGAGGTAAATGCCGGGGTTTCAACACTCCTAACAGGTGTTTGCGAAATGTCTTTTGTCGGTGTAGCATAACCAGCAGACTTTTTGTTTTTTAAAAAAACTATTTTTTGTCTGACATGTTTGTTTGGGATGGTAGAAAGAGGTATATTTAAAACAGCAAAGGCCTCTAGAAACTCATCCCACCTCGGCGGTCTACGATCATCGCTAACCCTGTGCGGTGTTGTGATACTTTTCACCAAGTCCAGAATGTGCGACCCAGGGACTGGACTTCCATACAAGACAAATTCACCCAATTCGTTCCAGGATGACACATCTTTTGATTTAGACATTTTATCTAAAACATACTGAACATTCCTCCTGCTTCGTGAGGGTACATTTCTAAGAACATCAGTGATTACATCATTTTTGTCATCAGTCTGATCAATGACATTTACATCCTTATTAACATTATCTGCGGGTGGTAATGACAATGTCTCCATATCCCCCTGTTTAGCAATGGTTAAATATCTCTGCAAAACAGCGGCATAAAGCTTTGCTTTCTCATGAGCGTCAAGATCATTCCTACCCAAAATATTTCTAATAGAAACATCCAAGTCATTTTCTACAATTTGTCTGATAGTCCCTTGCAAGTTCTTGCTCTTTAACTTATCCAACTGGTGTTGTGGTACCAAAAACATTTTCTCAGCATACTCCATCACTTCACTTTTGTTTGTTTGTTATCAAACTTGTTATAAATGGTATTGCGATGCTTAGCAACGGTAGAAAAAAACCTCCTTTCTGATTAAGTACTTTCCTCTTTTGTGAAACTCTGCCCCTTTTATCAGCAAATATTTTTATGGCCGTCTTCTTCTTCTTTAACATACAATGTTGCGTTGGTGTAAGAGGTATGTTACCAGTAAGAACATTAAGAGCTATTTCACACAGGGTTAAGATGAATTCATCAGATGCCGCCTGCAAAATAACCCGTCTCTGTGATGGTTTAGCATTAAATAAAAGTAGTGGTAGGTTTCTATATAGCCGGTCGGACATATTGATCTATCTGCGTTTTTTCTGAATATATACAACAGGACCGTTTGAAAGCAGATCCGTTCTGAGACGAAAGTCTTCAGGAGTCTTTGCTTTATAATCAATCATGAGGTGGCCGAATGGTTTGCTTACAGCATTTTGAAAACACTCCATGAAAAACTTTGTATTACCAGGGTACATCTGTCTACCTAATACACCGATCTGATTGTTGTCTCGAGGATTTTTAAACAATATGAGGTAGTTTGTGTTCAAACTAATTGTCCTACTAGACTTTTCTTGAAAAAATAAATTCTGTATTAGGTAAATGGCACTTAAATTTCGATGCTGTACATACTGCGTAAATACCTTTTCCACCTCAGCATTATTGCTAGCATCTTGCAGAACATCATCAATAATTAACAAATTATTTCTGTTAAGTGGCAGAAGTGTGTCATCATTTAGGGTTGTTGGTATCCCTTGAACAAAATTAATATTTCTTATTTTTAACATTTCATCATAAAGGGGTTGCCAACAATCATAAATGTATACTATGTTTTCTATTTTCT